GGGGGGGGGGGGGGGGGGGGGGGGGGGGGGGGGGGGGGGGGGGGGGGGGGGGTAGTACTCATGTAAACGGATGCCGTTAGACCATTGACCTCGTATACCTAAAACGCGGGAAGGAGCCAAGTTTTCGCCGACTCAGGTTTCGTTTCAAGCAGGATGAACCAGAAGCTAGCCACTGGGGAGGGGGCAACGAAAGCGAGGCAGGTTGAGGCGTGCCACCCACAGGGTGGAGGGGGGGCGGTCACATTGTTGACCACAGGCAAAACAACCTCGGGGAGGAAATCTGTGTCTTGTAATACTTGTACAGCTTACGTATAAGGTGTGTAGTTGTGTTGTGGGAGACACACTTAACCCCATCTTTCCCACACAACAGCGCATGGTGCTTGCCTGCAACTACCAAGAATGAACACACTTGTTTCCCCCGCTAACTGCTAACACAATGTCAGCACGTGTCTTGCTGCGAGAGCTCTCCCAAGACGTAGGGGTGGCCAACGTGTGTGTGTGTTGTATTCCTTTCTCGTCGTGGAGACCACCAGCACATCGATCAAAAAGAAGAAAACGATACTAGGCAACTCCCCCCGGCACGGGATACGACTTTTTGTTCTTACGGATACGGTCACCCTGATGGCCTGTAGCGGTCAACCTCGTAGACCTACCCTACGCAGAAGGTGGTGGGGGGTACGACTTTTTCTTCCCGTGTAGACGGTCGCCCTGGTGGCCTAGCAGTCAACCTCGCAAACCTACCCTATACACAAGGTGTCAGCACTGGGTAAGGAAGAACCCCTAGTGTCTTGTTCTTGCACACGACTATTCTTTTGCCCTACATATGTACGTATTGGTCAATCTCTTAAGCCTATCCAATCGAGCAGGTGGAGCCACCGGCTTCGTGTTTCTTCTTCTGCTTGAAGAATAACCTCTTGTTTTTTTCTTGAGGATATAATCTCTGGCAAAGCTCTTCTCGTACTCGAGGCTCTTTTTCCATTCTTGTTCACGGGGAGACCCAACAGGGAGCGACCGGTGCTGCTGGGCACCAACAAGGCGACGGGGGAAGGTTAACGTTAACGTTCAGGCTTGGGTTGGTCTTCTTGTCGTACCTGGCTGAACGACATCTGCACCGAGAGCTTCGTCCTCAGCATCTCCCGGAAGGTCTCCTCGTTGCCGTGGGCCACCTCGAACTCGTGCCACGCCTGAGGGGAAAAAACAACAAAGGCAACGCATGTGGTCGCGAAAAATGAGGTCCGGAACAACAGAAGATCGATTCTTGATTCGAGGTCGAACCAACTACACATTTTCAAACGCTGCCCAGCGTCAGAGTTGGAGAACCCAACGCGCGTGGGCGCACCATGGTTTTGCAAAAGTGAGGCATCTAGCTGTACCTATATCGAAAACTCGGCCACAGCTTGCCTGCCTGACTAAACGAGGCAGAAAATGATTGGCAAACCATGACACCAAAAAAACGCGCTGAACAGACGCGGGAGCCCGCGAAAATCGGCAAGATCTCAAGACCAACAATAGACAGGAAACAATCGAAATGCTTGTGCTACATCGACACCTACCTCCAACTTGATGCCGCTTCTGATGGACAGCCGGAACGAGGGACAACAGAACGTCCACTTCACTTCCACACACCACACCAAACACTAAACACTAAACACTTCACTTGGGGGCATCGACAACAAATATTTATGGCACCTTCCCAACAAAAGGGCGCAATGCCACCGAAAGATTAACATTCCCCGCCAAGGAGGGCGATAGCACCCACAAGAACGACGGTAACACTCCCACAAGAACGACGGCAATACCCCCACAAGGATGCCGGCAACACCCCCACAAGAACGACGGCAACATTTCCAACACCAGCACCAGAACGACGATAAAAAAACATACATACACTAATGCGCTATGTGCTTTCAGCCGCACTGAGGCTGACGTATTTTCAAAGGTCAGCTGGTTAGCACGGACAATACTACTACTACTACTACTACTACTACTACTACTACTACTGCTACCACTGCAAAATAAAAAATGAAAAAAAGACGCACATAAATACGAATACCGAGCGGAGCAACACACACCAGCACCCAACTCGCTCGCGAACGCAAGCAAGCGGAGTTGTAAGAACAAAGGAGCAGCGCTCACTTTACGCTTTACCTGCCAGCAAAACAAGAACAAAATAGTAAATAGTGCTCGCTTGCTCTACCTGCCAGTAGGGCTCGGCCCTCCTCGGATCCGCGAACTGGCTGCCGTACGTCCAGACGGCCCTGGCCCTATCGATCTCTCCCAGCTTCTGCTCCACCGCCGCGAACGACATGCACATCTGCACACGTTCCGTGTCAACCAACACCGACCGAACGAGAAGAGAGAAGAGAGAAGAGAAGAGAGAAGAGAAGAGAAGAGAAGAGAAGAGAAGAGAAGAGAAGAGAAGAGAAGAAGCATACAAGCGGCACGCGAAAAAAAATACAAATCGAAAGAAAACAAGGCAGTGCGTGTGGTGAAAAGGAAGCAAGGCACGGCGTAGGGGGCGAGCCGTTGCAGGGCAACCGCTGGACGAGAATACGACAACGTTCATGACCACAAGCAACAAAAAATAAAAAATAAGCGAAACTGCTCCATCACCTCGAACGACAAGCACATGTGCACACGGTTTCGTGTTAACCAAGACCGGCCCATCGAGAAGACAAGAGAAGATAAGAGAACAAGCGCACAAGCGGCACACACAAAAAAAAGAAGATAGGACAGCAGTGTGTGGTGAAAAGAAAGCAAGGCAAGACGTGGGGGGCGAGCTGTTGAAGGGCAACCGGTGGACGAGAACACGACCATTTTCAAGCAACCAAACAACAAACAATAAAAAAACGAAACGAAACAGAGAAAATCAGTTCAGAGAAAGGTTTGGACGAGTAAGACCAGACGACAGGGAGAGAACTAGAGCAGCCTTCCGACGCGCGGTCTGATCACTCTCATTAGTCTGATCCGCGTGCACATTTCCATGTTCCCCCTCTCGGTCTCCCCTCGACTCTATCCACCCGCCCACCGACCGGTCGTCATTACGTAGATGTCTATCTATCTGTGTCCTCCACCTACCTGCCTACCCGTGTCTGTCTGTGTTCGGTGTCCGTCCGTCTGTCTGTCTGTGTGTCTTGTCTTGTTTGTCCTGTCTGTCTGTCTGTCTGTCTGTCTGTCTGTCTGTGTGTCTTGTCTTGTGTGTCCTGTCTGTCTGTCTGTCTGTCTGTGTGTCTTGTCTTGTGTGTCCTGTCTGTCTGTCTGTCTGTGTGTCTTGTCTTGTGTGTCCTGTCTGTCTGTCTGTCTGTCACCTCCCTAGCCCCTTCTTCGTTGAGATCCTTGATGGCCTTCTCGTACACTTGCCGGGTCTGGGTCACGCCGTACCACGACTCCACCTGGGATGAGGACACGGACGAGGACAAGGGAATGGCACACGACACGGGGCCAAGAGAAGGGGGCAGAGAGACACACAGACAGACAAGAGACAAAGCGTCACACACACAGAACCACAGAGAGAGGAAAGGAGCAGAGAGAGGATGAAGGGAAAAGTAGTCAACCCTTTCGTGGGAATCGTTTGTCTTGGAAACAACACCCCTTTGCCGAGGCCCCACTTGGATCCCCGAAGCAACGAAAACAAAGGAACCACGCCGCACGCCTCACTACACCTTCGCGTTTGATCTCTAGTTTTCTCTTGACTCACCATCACCTGAGAAGCCCTTGCATTTCGATCAATCGGGTGTATGCATGCTGTGTTGTTGCCCTGCTGCTGCCACTGCCGTGCGGGCGTGATCAAAATCGTACTAGCACCCCCACCAGCACGACGGCGTCGCATTCGACAGCCCGAAGTTAAACGCGACCGTCCAACACCTACAACTTCAGAACCCGCCTGCCGCAGGCAAGATAAAACGCTGCTGGACAGACAAGCGAAAAGCTCCTGGGCAGACAGGAGGGAATATGACATGGCACATGGTACCAATATCGAACAACATCACACAATATTCAGAACCCTTTACACGCCATCTTCGTACCTTGGCAACGTAGAGGCGGAACATATCTAGCCTCTCCGACTCCTCTACGGCGGCGCACGCGCGGTCCAAGACCGAGGCCGCGTGGCGCATGAGGCCGTGGGTCTCCTCGAGCTTGGCGTACCGGATGTACAGGTCCCCGGCGTCCTTCTCGGGGACTTTTTCCACCGCCTACCACCAACAAAAGGAAAAGAAAAAGAAAAGCAGCAAATTAGGTAAGGAAGAAAGGAACGAAGAAAGGAAGGAAGGAAGGACGGAAGGATGGAAGGAAGAAAAAAAAAAATTGGAACCCTCTGTCATGCTTTCGCTAACGTTTTGACGTCTTTGCCTGGGACGAAAAACGACAAATAACCAATGCCCGAAAGAAGGCACGCACAACATACACACCATCCACCTCATAGGTTCCTGTGCTTTGGACTACTACTCGTATGCCGCAACACACACACAATCTACTGACATGTTCTTGTGCTTCAGAGCTGGTATGCCGCACCACACACGCAACCACCAGAAAGGCTCTTGTGTTGATAGACTATAGTTGGTACTGTACCCCACCGCACACACAATCTTTTCAACGGTCTTGTGTGCTTTTGAGAATATACTCGTGTACCGACCCACGCACACAATCTACCATAAGGTTCTTGAGCTCTTGAGTAGACTATACACTGGAATGTCGCACCACACCCGCACATACAGAAGTGACCGAACAGGACGCACACCTGCTCGAACAAGTCCCGCGCCCTCTCCAGCTTGGACCCTCCGTACCGTTCCACGAAGCGTTCCAGGTAACGGATCCAGATGGGCTTTACGTTGGGGAAGGAGAACATGCTCACGCCCTGCATATATTGTTGGAGTCCACGTTCACGGTTGAAATTTACGATGTTGGCGGAAAAGTCGTTGCAAAAGTGATCGCCGGGCGC